AAAAAAAAAAAAAGAAAAAGAAATTAGAAAGAGAATATAGTTAATCATCTAAATATAGTTAGAAAGAAATTATTATTTCTTTAAAGAAATAATAATCGCTAAGAAGTAATATTTATGCGAAATGCTACGGTCCCGTTACGGAACTATTCCGTCGAGAATAATTGATATAACAGTTATAAATCTTGACGAAATAGTTCGTAATGGGACAGTAGCATCTTCCAATATTTATATCCCTCTTCTTGACTAGGGCTAAACTCTCTCAACAGGATAAAGGAAAAGTCAACAGGATATAGTTATCCACTATAAATTACGAAATTTTTGTTTGACAATCATGAAAACAATTGATAGCATATGAAAATTACAGTGATTACCATCGCATCAAAGATTATGAGATTCAACCCAAGAGCGCTTGGATGAGATGGTTTGGGTCTCTTCCAGCTTAACCAGTGGTCTCGTGTTCGAGTCCTGAGAATGCAGCAGTGTTAAAACTCTTGAGGGAGAGCTTTGCCGTCCTTGTGATCCTACCCGGCTCGATTCCGGATTAGTCGGTTCCCCTGTGGATCCGGAAACCGGAAGGTCCCTGTACCAAAAAAAAAAACATTATGAGATTCATTTTCCAGAGAGACGGGCCTTTGGATTGCTACGGGCCGGACCATTATCAAGTTTGGCATACACAAAAAATAAATGTGTGACTAAAAGACCTCTCTATCACCACTGTTAGAATATATTTTGTATATATGGTTATAATATATTTTGAGATGAAGAGTTTGGGTCGTCTTCGCTATTTTCTGGGTCTTGAGATTTATGATTCCTCTGATGGCTTCTATTTGTCTCAAGCCAAGTATGCCTCTGATCTTCTTGCTCGAGTCGGTCTCACTGATTGCCAGACAGCTTCCACACCTCTTGATTATGATATTCATCTTACTCCATTGGATGGTTCTCTTCTTGAAGATCCTACGTTATATCGCCAGCTCGTTGGGAGTTTCATATATTTGACTGTCACTCGGCCTGATATAGCTCATGTTGTTCATATTGTGAGTCA